GCTTGGAGGAGTGCCAGGAGAGGAAACTGTGGTTGACATGTACTGTATACAAAAAAATCTATTTTTAATTTAAAAAGTTGAAGTCTGTTACTGGTTTTACAGCATTTTCATCTATGTGATCTATGGATAATAAAATGGGAACTAGGGGATGGAATCCTGGGGATGAGCAAGATTGTACCAGATAAGGAGCCTCCTGATAGTCTGGGTTAGAATGAAAATTAAATCTGGATGGACCTGGGCGTGGATTACTTTGTAGGGCCTATGCTCCCTGGTGCATTTGTGCAAAGGAAGGTGGCATGTGGTTGGAAGTCATGTTGACATGAAATCATTTTAGTAAGACTCTACAGAAAGACCATCTGAAATGAGCACTGCTGTATTCGTTGATGGGATATACTAGATTTAGCTTTGGATAGGCAGATGGGTATGAATCATTTCATCAGTCACATGGGTTCACAGCTTTTTCCGGAAGGGGAAATTAAAAAGAAATGTGATGAGAAATCTAAGTATTGGTATATTTGGATCCTTGATCTGGATGATGTTTACCTGACTGTGTTTTCTCTAGAAAAAAAAAAAAAGCGTGTGATTATGAGTATATGTTTGGTTTAAAATTTTTATTATGGGTCTGGAGAGATGGCTCAGTGGTTAAGAACACTGTCTGCTTTTCCAAAGGACCTGGGTTCAATTCCTAGCACCCACATGGCAGCTTACAACTGTCTGTAGCACAAATTCCAAGGGCTTTGACACCTTCATACTAATGCATGTAAAATAAAATTAAATAAAATATTTAAAAAATTTTATGTTTTAATACAAAGTTTAAAAGTACTGAAACTTGGGATTCACATACAGTTAAATTAAAATCTGTATAGGCTGGATTCCATTCCTCATATGTCTATTTTTAATTTAAACTCTAGAGAATGTGAGGTTACGTGTTTGCTTTTTATTATTGTTTAGTTGAAAACATGGTTACTGTCAACCAAGAACACCGACTTAAATTTTAGTCCTGGTTTCAATCCTCCAACTACATTTCTTTGGGCCATTGTGTGACTTGTATGAGTCCCAGATTTCATTTATAATGAAGCCAAGTATTTTCACCCATTTCTTTCCTTTCTTTTTGTGCATGGGCCATGCTGTGCCCTTGCAGATCGGAGTGCAGCTTGCAGGCAGGTTCTCTGTCTCCATCATGCGTATTCCTGGGGACGAACTCGGGTGTTCAGTCTTGGCCCCAAGCATCCTTACTCACTGAGCCACCTTGCTGGCCCTCGATATATATTATATATTCTCTTATTTTACAGTTACTTTGAAAAATAAATGTAATAAAATCGAGCATCTGGTCCACAGTCAGAATAGAAAACTCTTGCCCAGAGGAAAGGCACAAGACATTGATTTCATTCCTATGGGGAAAAGTAATTCCTGTGAAATACGTGTTGTCATCAGTGGAGTGGGGTGCCTTTAGAACAGGAAGTGTGGATCAGGAAAGGATGGGAAGGAAAGGAGCGCTTTCTGAAATTTCTTTGGGTTTTTCAACTGCTGAATTCTTAACCTTGAAATAACGCAACTTTCCTCTCTAGCACTTAGCATACCTTAAAAAATTTAACACCCACACACGGAATTCTTTCCTAGCTGTTACAGGCATGGCGTGGGTTCTTCTGTGGCCCACAGCTGTTGCGTTTCCATGTGCCCTGACTTCTGTGCTCTGCACTCCAACTCATCTCCTGGAGTGAACACATCAGACACAAGTCTGCCATGCTCAACTGCTTTTGGGTATTCTAGGCTAATCCTACAAGGATTTTATGTTCCTTTTCAGTAAATCATATTCTTAGAAAGTCTATGATATTTTCGTTTGAGTTTTATAACATCCTTTCTGGAGATCTCTCTGACTGAAGTGTTTAGCCCAAGGAGGTAAGATACATCTGTCTTTGGCTAGATTTAATGTGGCAAACTTGGGAGAGTACAAGCTACAGGACTTCCACAAGTAGATTTAATGCGGTCATTGTGTATCAAAATGTCTTTATCCTAAACTTTTCATTTGTTTCATACTGTTCTTTAACATTTTATCTCCAGAAAACATAACAAATCTGCAGATATACATGCAGCATGGAGTTTAAGGTGACATTTAAAAGTATTTATTTTATTGTAAAATAAAAAAAAATGTATTTTCTGCAGCAAGGCATGTAACAGAAGTCATCAGTTTCAACTATCAACTTTATGCCTGAATTGCAGTTGCTACTAATCAATCTGTAAATAAAGTCTGTCTCTTAACTGTGCTATGAGCTCAGATTTTATTTACAAATACTTAACGTGTCTAACAGATAATGAAGATACAAAGATAAGTAAAGAGACAATGCAGTTGATGCTGTCTTTTATACATACTTTATTCAAAGGGTGAGATCCATTTGAAGGAAAACTATTAGAGAATAAGGAACAGGGGACAGCTAATTCCTTACAGTTGGCTATTGGAAAGGGGAATCAAGTCAAGAAGATTCTGAACTTTCTGTTTTTGAGAAAAGATGTAGGGATGCATCATCTGAAAAAAATAGTGACATGTGTCAATAACCAAGAAGACAATTTTAAGAATAGGAAAACGCTTTCCCACATCAAGGAATTATATAAAATATGGTATTTTTAAAAAATAAATAACTGGGTTTGCTTTGTTTACATGTTTTGGGAACTCCATGGCCAACTGTCCAGTAGGTCAGATGAATGCAGTGATTTGTGCATTGGCGATAAGAATGTGTGACTTATTACTGTGAATGTGATCCTGATGGTGTTGGAGTGGAGACTGAAATAGGCAGGAGCTGGTAGAATGCTAGTTGCCCAAGGATTCATTTTTTTGCTGCCCCAACCCCCCAAACGCATACATTCCCAATAGACAGACTACCCCAGAAGAACAATATCTCATAGGAAACTAAAGAATAAAAAAAAAAAAAACTAGTCAAAAAGAATGAGTTATTGGAAAGGAAGTAACACTCAACAAGTAGGCACACTTATAAAAAAAAAAAAAAAAAAGGCAAATCAAGCATTTTGTTTAGACCTAACTCAGAGAACAATGAGGCTGCAGTTTCACCAAAAGCGTGAATGCTGCTGAAAGGACGATGGTACACTGTTATCAGCCGTCCCAGAGAATGACTGCTTGCTGCATTCTACAGGATGGCCTCAGTCGTCTCCTGATAGCTAGGCTTGAGGCTGGGGCTCCCTATATGTGGCAAACACTGCATATGAAGAAATGGGTGTTGTTGAGACTAAGGATGTAGCCACTAATCATAATGCGGAGGTCATGGTCATGGAGTAAATCCCAGAAAGTGTTATGCTGGAGAGAAGATGGATTTTGTGGAATATATAGATTCACACTTTAAAGAAGACATAGTGTTCTGTTGTACTCTGTCATGTAGGCATCAATTAAAATTATGCAAACATTTTTATGTTTTAGTCTTCTGTACCGGTATTACTTCTTTAATTTCTGTGTTTCAGAAATTTCAGACTGACTGACACTATGTGTCTCGGAGTTATTCATGGTGAGAGATGCTGCAAGTCAGGTTGAAGAAGGCTAAGACATCAGGAGGAAATGCAAAAAAACAAAGCAAAATGAACAAACAAATAAACAAACAGACAAAACTCCAAAAATCAAAATCACAATTTTGAGAAATATAAGGATTGAATCTAAAGGGGGATCATGAAAACTTGAGAATATTTTTGAAAGATGAAAGTTAGTAAAAACCACAATTAACTTGTCTTCTACAAAGGTCATCAGACAACTAACAGTTTCAGATGAAAGAATAAATCTTAGCAGAGAAGGAGGAAGCTTTCCTTTTCCTTTGGGAATCAGACATGTAGTAACTAACCATGTCAAAGAGGCTAACAATGAGTAAACATTGCTAGAAATATGTAACATCATCTAAAAGGTACATTAAGATCAGAGCAGAAGTTTTGGTTGATCTTAATTGAATGGGCATGGAAAAAAAAAAAAGAAAGAACTTGAGGGCACAGAAGAACTAAACTAATGACCCAATCTGGTGCTGAGGAAAGTGCTGAGGAAAGGCTCAGTTTCTTGTGGAGAGAGATGAGAGATGGGGTGCAAACCTATTTAGTATGGTACAGTAAGATTGTTGTGTTAATTTGGTTTCACACCTGGAAATAGCCAGGATTTCCATGCCTAACATCCTAAATTTGACATATATAAGGAGTACAGAGGGAGAGTATTTCACAGGTGTGTTTTGTTTTTGTGGCTTGAATAAGACAAATTTTAATATTTCCAAGGCCCTTTGGTCTCATGACTTCTGATCCTGACTTACAGTTGGCTAGTATCACTTAAATCCCATGGTGGTTTCTTCTTGGTCTTTTCTATCTGATGTGATGAAAGTATTATCACTAAAAGAGACTAGCACAAAGATAAAGGAAGGTCTATTCAAATACCTCCTACCACCAAATGTCATCCACAATACAGTGAAAACAGGTGTATCTGTGACAATGCCTGTCATTGCTGATTCATCTGAAATCCTTGCAATGGAGGGGGCAATTTGGATGCTTCATGCCTTGAATGTCTAGCTGAGACTTCTCACCTGATGAGAGCATGTAGGAGGAAAGAAAGTTACCAAAAATCATGTAAGAAGGTAAAAGTTTTAAACACTTTTATCATGTTCAAGTGCTTTCTGTCTCAGATAAGTGAGTCAGAAGCATACATGTGATATTGGCACTTCAGACTTGAGCACGGGTTGCTTACGGCAGAAGGAAACATTGAGGAGGCTGGGCTACCAGAACAGAATGGATCAGAACTTTCTAGGGTAAAGGATGGGGAAATGAAAGCCAGAGGCTTGGAGAAATGTGCAAGATGGCTCAGGCTTTGAGTTTCTCTTTCACATTCTCTTTTTTAATCCTTTCTCAGGCACCAAGTATCTTGTATACAGTAAATAAATACTCTTGATAGCCTGCATTTCAGAAAACACGTGTTTTTAATGTCAATTATGTGAGCATGCAACATTGCTAAATACAAAAGTCATAGAAGCTCATAGATGACTTCCAAGGCTGCCACTCTTCAGTTCAAGAACAGTTCTGGGCTTCTAAGACATCATCCGTTATGGATCCTTTCTTCTTTTTATTTGATAACTAGACATTTTTTCCTTACTACTGCAGGATTCATTCAGAAGCTGTCCAACAGTTAGATTTTTTTTTTCTTATTCCTCTGAGAAGAGATAGAACTGTCATTCGTTTTCTACAATGGTGTCTTGCTGCCATGTTTGAGGAAGACTCAGTGGGAGGGCATTGACAGTAGGCTATTATGTTAGTATTTCCTGAAAACTGAAGGTCATAATTTCTGTTACAGAGTAGAAAGCATTTCTGGTAATTTAGGATGAATATGTTTCGACAGAAAATGCTCTCATTTGAAAAAGAGGTAAATTCAACAGTTTCTCACTCATTGTTACCTGCTAAAAACTTAATTTTTTTTGTTTCTTAGTAATTAAATAAAAAAAGCATAAAATAATGGTACACTGACATAGCAAACACATGTAAATTTACAGCTTACATGCCAGAAGTAAACTGTTGAAATAAGCTATAATCGCATATTTAAAAACAAGTAAACAAATAAAAACAAAGGTAGGCTTAGCCACGAATGCCATTGCCCCTGTTGCAAACCTCAAGAAAGGCTAGTTCCTTTGAACTCATTTTTCTTCTCTATAGAGTGGAAGGTGAACAAGTGTATGTTCATAAGTTTTACATACAGAGAAACATATTGTGCAATTAGCTCTCACTTTATAAAATGTGGACTGAAAATTCTGTTGATAGATAAGCAGGGGCCCAAATTAGCTTTCTAATCTTGCAAAAATTAGTCCTTATTCACGTTCATTTCCTAATGTGTGAAAGGGAGGAAGGTTGAAATCTAAATGGTATTTTTGAAGAGATGAAACAAAGGGTTCTAAAATGACTCAGTTGGGATAGTTAGCCAACACCCTTTGCTTGGGTTGCCTGTTCTTTCACATGTCTCTGCAGATTAGTTCCCTATGAATTATTATTTTCTTTCAAATAACAGGTTTTAAATGAAAATAAGGGGGGTCTATGCACTTTTGCCAATCAAAATTTATACGATGGGATACTTAGAATGTTTTTTTTTCCCCCTTCCAGCTTGAGAAAACTTCTGGGTTTGAATACAGTACATAAAGTAGTAGTAAGAGGTCAAACTAAATCAAAAGCTCCATATGACTTATCCATTTAGCACTACTTATATATTTGAAGACAAGCATGGCACCACATGCATTTGTAATAGTATATCACACGGTGAAAAAAACCTGCCACACAGACTCAGCACTGGTTCTGAACTTTTACAAAATGCACGTGAATTCAGTTTGAAATTCCACAGCTTTAAAAATGAACTTCAAATCCACAAGAAAGCTACCAGGGTAGTTAAACAAGGACATCGAAACTGTTGGATATTGTCAGTAGATTACCAGAGATTGTCTGAAACAGGCCAAGAGGCTTCTGTTCACGGCTTTGAGTCTATCAACAGGAAGGTTCCTTTCAATTTTTTACTAGCCTCCAATGACTGAGATCAAAGCAAGGCCTCTCATACTTAATGTATTTACTACTGGCCTATATCCAGAAAGACATACTTAACATTTGCTTGTTTTTCCAGAAAACGTCCAGTTGGGGACTAAGTGAGATTCACGTACTTCCAGTCAGTAAAAAAAAAGCACTGTATAGGAAGATGTGGGCACAGTCACCTGCCACGCTGTCCATAACTACAGAGACAGGCTGAGTTCCCATCATACCCACAGACTGCCTGTTGAAAAAGCTGCTCTTTTCTTGACCTGGAACTGCATCTGTGCCCTCCAGGCCACTTACGGGCTCCTTCGTCGTGAAGGCCTCCTGTCCTCTGTTATTTGTGCCATACTCATGAACCCTGGGCATCTTACCGGAACCTTATTTATCACCAAAGATAGTTGGTTTCATAATACTGACCAGAGGGGTTACACAGGCCACAGAAATTTTTCCATACAAGAATTGTGATGTGAAAACACAGCATAGGCCATCAACAGTGTCAGTAAAAGTGTGGTGGGGTGATAATTATTATATCAGAATGCAATTCACACTCATTTGTAAAATTTTACAAACATTAAAAAATGCATAATAATGTCTGATATGAAAGGGCTGAAAAAGGACATGGGAGAACATAGCATAAGGGCTTCACTGTATGGACTGCTACCCACAGGATTGTGAGGAGAACTCTTTCTCCACAAGCTGTCCTCCAGAAGGGAATAGTAGCGTACATCAGTGTGAAAAACTGACCCACAGAGCACAAGGTTTTCAATTATTAGTATCAGCTGGCTTTCTATGTCTGCCTTGTCAGTTCTTAAAAATTCTTATAATGAAAAATTAAGATATTACTTGAAAGTACTTATTCAGAAATAAAAGCAATATTGATAGGCAGAATTCTTGTCTGTGAGGATAAGAAGACTGAAATCAGGCAAATTCACATTAATGGATACTTCCAATTGCTTGTATAATAAAGCAAAGGGGTCTCAGTGAGTCTGGTGGACCTAATCATCAGCACACAGTCATCAAGAGGAAAGTATTGTTTTACAAAAGTGTGTTCTGCCCTGTGCACGCCACAACACTATGGAAAATTAAAAAGGCAGCCCTTTAAAAAATGAGTGGTATAAAATTCACAGTAATGTACATCTTTTTTTTTTTTTTTTTTTTTACATAAGCAATCAAAGGGCAGTGCTGAGCAGGTATACTGTACGATACAAAACAGTGTAGATAACACAGCACTAACACACAGGGACATAGCGCTAACTGTGCTCTCTGGATGGTTCTTTTACTGGGTGAATACTCCAGCCAGAGATATTTAAACTCTGGGGTTCAACCAACCCTTTTCAATTAGACACAATTAAATCCTCTGACATCATGAGGGGCCAGATGCTACACAGGAATCGTCAGCTAGGTCAGTGCTACTCTCTACAAGCATTTCATTACACGGTCAAGTGAAAGGACCCATACAAAAATGATATCCAAGCACAGGCCAGGTGATTTCAACCATTGCTCATGACAGAGGTCGGGAAAAGGCTGTCTGCAGACACAGGCTCTGCTCCCACTTTTAACATGGCAACGAACAGCTTCTTGCCACACAGCACAGCCATTTTCTTCCCCTCTCTTTCACTCAGGACAGCAAATGCATCCAAGCACGGCCAGGAGATTTGCCACATTGTCAGGCGTTGTGGATGGTCAGAGTGGAGTGTTAGCTTTCAGATTTGGCTGTTTCTCCTTGGGCTTCCCCACTTTGTTCCGTGGAGCTTCTCTGTCCATCATCTTCACCTTCTGCAAGAGATGACAAAAACAGAGGGGGAAAAGAAACGCTCATGTTTAATGACTCTAAGCTCATCATGTTGGAAACTTCAGACAAAGCCTGAAAATCATATAGAGATGTGTGTTTTCTTGGTAGTGCTCCATCAACAGCATTTGTGTAAGCCCAGCACTTTCTGTGACATCAAGAAGACAAAAACAAATCACTTGCGAAATGTCCAGAGCTGTTAATGACTAGCTCTGTGAGTGGAAAAAGGAAATCTCATGACCAACCTCCTCCCTCATAAATGGGGTTTTACAACCTATAAACATCAGACATGGGATCACGACCTGACTCTCAGATTTGAAGAAATAGTTAAAATTTAACTTTCCCATTATTTGTAGAATAATACTTTCACTCTATCTTGGGTCAATTAACCCATGTGCCAGCTCTAGTCAGTCCTTCAGATATCTGCATTTGTCTCTTGGCTACTGCAATCAATAGGCCTGGGCAGACAAAATCACTTGTAGTGTTGCAGCAACATGAATTCTGTCAGTATTTTCTGAGAGTTATTCATAATTCAATTGAAAAAAGGTGGACCAGCCGTAATGCCCCCCTTGTATATAATTCTAAAAGAATTTACCACATATTCTTTTTTCTTGAAACGGATCTTATCGTGCAGTACAGGCTGGCCTCTGACTTCTTAACCTCCTACCTTCATCTCTAAAAAGCTACAGTTTGAACTGTGCATCACCCTTCTTGGCTCTATCCTTAATTATTTTGAAATGAAGGAAGGAATGAATTTAATTGATGCGCATGGGTGCCTCTATCTGTGCCTCTTCTGTTTGCTTCTCTATCTGTGACTTGCCACAGCATGCATGTCACAGCCAGAGAACGGCTTTCAGAAGCAAATTCTTTCCACTTACTGTGGGATCTGGGATAGAAGTACAGTCATCTGGTTTGTGCAGGAAGCATGCTTACTCGCTGGGTCACTTGGATTGCTCTCTCTCCTTTATTCTTATAATCTACAAGCTAACTGTCTCATCATACTCCAGCGACGCTAAGTATTTTAGGAAAGTAATTTTTCTACATGATGTTTTGTCATAGCATAGCCAGACAATGTTTACGATTTTTGTCATACACTAGTTTTTATTATGAGAAGCCTTCAAAATGTGCAGAAGGTCTGGAGGTTGGGTGTATAGATAAGCAGAGAATATGGGAGTCAGTGTATGGGAGACACATAAACAAAGGAAAGGAGTCATATTTGGGCAGATGACAGACATTGGAATACTTAAGGATGAAACTGACTGCATAACTGAAAAATGGGAAACCCATTGCCATGAGAACTGGAGCTTTCTGGTGTTTGAGGACACTTCTCAAGACTTAGCATTTCATTGCAAACAAAGATGTGGCTAAATGCGGCTTGTAACTAATCAAGGAGAGTGATATTTCTCAATATATATTATAAGGAAATAGAGACAGATTGAGGAAGTCCCTCCAAATTTTAGAGATATTCATTTTGCTTTTTTTTAATGTAGATATTTTTATAGTTTAGACATGTTGAAGGCTATTATTTGTTCTTTGCTTGGAGAATGGTAAAGTCAGAGTTTCCTTAGTTCTAGACTTCATGGTTTGAAAAGAAACTAAAATATTTGCACAGGTTTAGATAATTGGAATTAAAATGCAGAGTTGTTTACAAAATAAGATAAGAAGATATATCTTCTTTTATATTTGATATAGTGATATATATTGAAATATATTTGATATTTCAGATTATATAATTAGAATGTAGTTAATGAAGATTCACATCTTACTTTTAAGTACATAAATCTCACTATTATTGAAATTATATGGTAATTTAATATATTATCTCAAATAAAGAAGGTCTTGAAGCTCAGTGACAGGTAAAACAGAAGAAACTAATCTATGGGCCAAAAGTACCAAAAGTAAGACTTCTTAAAATTCATAAAGTCATTTAAAAGCAAAGAGTGTAGATTGATATGTCCTGTGATTTTCATATATATAAGTTATCATTTATTACAATTTATTTAGTTTTCATTCTGGCTGTGGCCCCTCCCTCATCTCCTCTTAATCCTGCCCTCCCTCCCTCTTCTCCCCTTATGCCCCTTGCCTAGTCCACTGATAGGGGAGGACCTCCTCCTGTTCTATATGACCCTAGCCTATCAGTTCTCATCAGGACTGGTTGCATTGTCTTCCTCTGTGGCCTGGCAAGGCTATACTCCCCCCCCCCCCCCAGGGGGAGGTGATGAGAGAGTTGAGGAGTAGACAGGGAACAGGATAGGAGCCTACCACAGATGGCCTCAGAAAGGCTCTACTGATTGAGGTTTCTGAAGCAGAGGCTGAGACTTATAGCCAAACTTTGGGCAGAGTGCAGGGAATGTTATGAAAGAAGGAGGAGATAAAAAGATGTGGAGGGGACCAGCAGAACCCAAAAAACTGAGCCCTGGGAGCCCTGCCGAGACTTATACCCCAACCAAGGACAATGCATGGAGAAGACCTAAAACCCCGGCTCAGATGTAGCCCATAGACTCAGTATCCAAGCGGGGTCCCTAGTAAGGGAGTGGGGCCCTGTGGTTTTCTACATCTGAATCTGCAGAAGGAATATTCTCTTCTTCAAAAATCATCACAGACACAATTTTCAATGAATTATCTAAGGAATTTATAGTTGACATTGACACCTATGGTCAAGTAAACACTGTTGATCAACTGACGAACACCCAATATTCTATATATAAATATAGGGAAAATAAAAACGGGATTATAACATAGAAAAAACACCTAGTGAAGTCATACACTAAGACTCTTATCTTTTTTTACAAAATAAAAGACCCATTTTCTTTTCATCTAAGAATTTTTTGTTTTGTATTTGTTCACTCATAAAATAATATTCAGTCAAGTAAACTGAGGTTTCCAATACAATTATATTTGTCCCCAAATCAAAAAAATGAATATTTATATAAGGATTAAAATATAAATCTCTTATATAAAATCAGAAAAATTTCTGTGTCACAGAAAAATATATTTACTCTTTTCATGACAGTGAAATAAAATAATACCCTATAGTCTTTCTCTAAAGTGATTTGATAGTTAAGTATGTACAGTAATGGTGGAGAAGCAATGAGTCCTACAATATGAGAGTTGATGCATTCCAAAGCAATGCTGTCAACATTTGTCATTAGTCTAAAATTGAAAGGGTGCTTATGGCTACTGATCTTTAGCAACTGCCTTTAAAATTTTTGGGCCAAAGGTACCAAAAGTAAGACTTGATATCTTGATATCAACTTACCTGTATTGTTGATATCAAGACCAGCTAATTTCAAGGCTAATTCATTGCTGTTGCAGCTTGCGGAGGAAACCAGGATATCATGTATTGCATTTCTTCTACCTGTTCTTCCTGAAGCAATAATACTACTGCCTTTAAAAAATTACATTCATAACCTTATTCATTTCTCAATAATCTGAAGGCTTTCACAAAGATATTCTTAGAATAAAGCCATATTGAATGCTAGAAACAGAATCAGACATTTTAAGTTCTTATGTATACAACACTGTGGTTCCTTGATTGTGAATTCTTTTTATATTTAATGATTATTTTGGGCAATTCTTAATATACTTGAAGAAGCTATAAAAAGAAAAGCTATTAAAAATTTATTTTAATACTCTTGAATTGGCTATCAAATATTTAAATATATTAAGATATTTATTTCTTTTTCCTTAGTAAAATCAAGTGACATGTACAAGTACTATGATACATTTTTTTCACAAAACCATTCAATTATGAAAATTTAAAAACTATATCATCTAAGAAGCACTTATATAACAATCTTTTTGCTTTCCATTCTCAATAAAAGTGGTTCCAGGGTACATCTTTTGAAATGATTCTTTGGTTTAATGTCTGCCTGACTCAATTGTTTATCTTTTAAAGTATGTATGAAATGGGAGAGATAGCCAGAGTTATCCATGGTAGGAGTCCTAACCCTGTTATTATTTTTTCTCTAGAAACAATTTCAAAGCTTTTGTGTCTTAATTTTTGAATGTAAATAAGAAACCCTTTCAAGAAAAGTCACTGAAAAAAATAAAAAGAGGACCTAATCAAAGACTTGCCTGAACTGTTTTAACTGTGTTATCTGATTTCAAAATAAGTTTTCTTTTATGCTCTTATTTCAAGTAATGAGATGCCAGATCATTCGTTCTATATTCCTAGAAAAGTGTATATGGACTGACTTACCTGTCTTGTTGATATCAAGACCAGCTAATTTCAAGGCTAATTCATTGCTGTTGCCGCTTGCGGAGGAAACCAGGATATCATGTATTGCATTTCTTCTACCTGTTCTTCCTGAAGCAATAAAATCTGCATACGTGGTTTCCACATCAGTCATTGCTAACAAATATCCACATAGCAGGGACTATAAAAGAAAGAAAAGTTCATAGGTGAATGTAATAGTAGTCAGTGGTGAACATTTAACAGAGAAAGTTTAACAAATGCCTTATAAGATGAACAGAAACAATTGTTTAGAAGTAGTGTTTTGATTCTTGTCTGAAACATTTTTTCTCTCTTTTTTTTAACTGATTACACTTTATTCACTTTGTATTCACCCTGTAGTTCCCTCCCTCTTCCTCTCCCACTTCCTTCCTTCCTCCTCTTTCTCCATGCATGCCCCTCCCCAAGTCCACTGATAAGGGAGGTCTTGTTTTCCTTCCTTCTGATCCTAGTCTGTTAGGTCTCATTAAGAGTGGCTGCATTGTCTTCCTCTGTGGCCTGGTAAGGCTGCTTCCCCCTCAGGGGGAGGTGATCAAAGAGCAGGCCAATCAGTTCATGTCAGAGACAGTCCCTGTTCCCATTACTATGGAACCCACTAGGAGACTGAACTGTCATGGGCTACATCTGTGCAGGGGTCTTAGGTTGTTTCCATGCATAGTCCTTGGTTGGAGTACCAGTCTCAGGGAAGACCCCTGTGCTCAGATTTTTTGGTTCTGTTGCTCTCCTTGTGGGGCTTCTGTCCTCTCCAGATCTTACTATTTCCCACTTCTTTCATAAGATTCCCTGCCATCTGCCCAAAGGTTGGCCATAAGTCTTAGCATCTGCTTTGATAGTCTGCAGGGCAGAGCCTTTCAGAGGCCCTCTGTGGTAGGCTCCTAACTTGTTCCCTCTTTTCTCCTTCTTCTGATGTCCATCCTCTTTGCCTTTCTGGATGGGGATTGAGCATTTTAGCCAGAGCCCTCCCTCTTGATTAGTTTCTTTAGGTGTACAGATTTTAGTAGGTTTATCCTATATTATATGTCTATATGAGTGAGTATATATGACTATATGAGTGATACTGTGTGTGTCTTTCTGCTTCTGGAATAGCTCACTCAGGATGATCTTTTCCAGTTCCCACCATTTACCTTCAAATTTCACAATTTCCTTGTTTTTTAATCATTATCATTTATTACCATTTATTCATTTTGTATTCCAGCTATGGCCCCCTCCCTTGTCTCCTTGCAATCCCACCCTCCCTCCATCTTCTCCCCTTATGCCCCTTTCCTAAGCCACTGATAGGGGAGGTCCTCCTTCCCTTCTATTTGACCCTAACCTATCATGTCTCATCAGGACTGGCTGCATTGTCTTCCTCTGTGGCCTGGCAAGGCTGCACCCCCTAGGGGAGGTGATCAGAGAGTCTGCCACTGAGTTCATGTCAGAGAAAGCCTCTGCTCTCCTTACTATGAAACCCCCTTGGAGACTGAGGCTATGGGCTACATCTGAGCTGGGGTTTTAGGTCTTCTCATTGCATTGTCCTAGGTTGGGGTATCATTCTCTTCAGAACCCCCAGGACTCATTTTTTTATTTGTTTGTTTGTTTTAATTTTGGCTCTATTGGTCTCCTTTTGGAGCTCCTGTCCTCTCCAGGTCTTTCCATCTCCCTCTTCTTTCATAAGATTTCCTGCACAGGAATGACCAGCACGGTAAAAATACCCTAAGGGTGCAATAGAGGCACACACTCGGGCAATAGCCAACACATCTCTAACTTCCACTTTCCAAAACCAGTATATTCTAAACGTTTACCCTTATTTATACTCACTGATAAATGTAGTTCTTGACTCTTATTGTAGAAACTTCCTTTTGTAATAAATTGATACCATTGCAGAAAACCAAAGCCAATCAAAATGCAAAGAACAGGAGCTTACCACAGAGGGCCTCTGAAAGACTCTACCCAGCAGTATATCAAAGCAGATAGATGCTGAGACTCATAACCAAACTTTGGGCAGAGTGTAAGAAACCTTATGAAAGAAGGGGGAGGTAGTAAGATCTGGAGAGAAAAAGAGCTCTGCAAAGAGAGCAACAGAACCAAAAAATCTGGGCACAGGGGTCTTTTCTGAGATGGATACCCCAACCAAGGACCATGCATAGATATAAACTAGAACCCCTGTACAGATGTTGCCCATAGCATCTCAGTGTCCAAGTGGGTTCCCTAGTAAGGGGAACAGGGACTGTCTCTGACATGAACTCAGTGGCCAGCTCTTTGATCACCCCCTCCCCCTGATGAGGGAGCAGCCTTGCCAAGCCACAGAGGAAGACAATGTACTCAGTCCTGATGAGACCTGATAGACTAGGGTCAGATGGAACAGGAGGAGGACCTCTCCTATCAGTGGACTTGGAGAGGGGCAGGGAGGAGATGAGGAAGGGAGGGTGGAATTGGGAGGGAAAAAGGGAGGGGGCTACAGCAGGGATACAAAGTGAATAAACTGTAATTAATATAAAAAATAAAAAATTAATTAAAAAGGCAAAGAACAAATAATCCTCTGGTACCCAGTTCCAACTGATACATACACAACACAATTTCTGATCTAAAGGCTGAAAGACCAATTCTGAAAAGATCAGGAGATGAGCTTTAAGAGCCAGAGCAACATAAAGGTTGGTGTGAGATTTGTCTACCAGAAATGTCAGAAAAGCAATACTTTGATGAAGTCTCATTAACATGACTTCCTTTTTAATCACTGTTATATCACTGTGAAGAGACACCATGACCAAAGCAATTCTTATAAAAGAAAGCATTTTAATTTAGGGCTTGCTTACAGTTTCAGAGTTTATTCCATGACCATCACAGTGGGGAACTTGGTGGCATGCTGGTAGATCTGGTGAGTGAGGAGTAGCTGAGAATTCTACAACGTGCTCCAGAGTTAGAGAGAAGAGAAACTGAGCCAGGTGTGGGCTTTTGAAAACTCAAGGCCCATTCCCAGGGACACATTTCCTCCAACAGTGCCATATCTCCTAATTTTTCTAGTACTTCCAAGTGGCTCTACTTCCTGGTGATTAAGCATTCAAAAATATGAGCCTGGTGGGGGCATTCTAACTTCAAACCACATAATTCCTAAACAAGACCTAAACAGTAATGAGACCAATGGAAAGAGAAAAGCTAATGGGGCCTCAACCCTAGAGAAAGAACTATGAACAGCTGGGGAATACCAAAAGTACAGTTTTCCCAGGAAAGAGTCTCTCAACTGGTTTTCCAATATCAAGTGGTTAGTCTGAAAATAATAAACATTCAGGTAGTGTTACACAGCCTGAGGTTGTATGTATGTATGTACATGTGTATGTGTATATATGTGTGTGTATGTGTGTGTAACAATTAAAGAAAAAGATGCCATGAATTTGAGAGAGAGGGAGAAGGAGAAAGACATAGAGATAGAGAGAGAGAGAGAAAAGTTTGGGAGATTTAAAGGGAGGAAATTAGAGGGAAATGATGTGATTATAATAACAAAACAATTTAGTAATTATTTTAAAAAATCAAAATTCTGCTGGGATAGAGTTATAGCTCTGTGGTAGAACATATACTTGGTATATACAATGTCCTGCATTAATCTGTAGCACATAAAAAATAAAAGTAAAAATATTGATAAGGGAAGCTAGGGCCCTTCTTGTGTTCAAGATCCAATAGCAAATACTTTAATCTCTACTCCAACTACTCAGTGTTGAATTATAATCGAAAACAGTCATAAACCATAAATTTAACAAATGTAGTAAGAGCTTTATGAAAAAGGCACAGGAATAGCTTTAGCCCATACACCATGGTGTATACTCTAAAATTCTCTTTTCTCTCAGCATGCTATAGAGCTGACTTGGAAACAGGGTAGGGCTGATTGAAGTGGTCCAGTCCAAAGTAAGCATTCATCAAGCAGACTATCTCCAGAAAGTCTAAGAATAGCCAAGAGACAGGCTCAGATATGGTGTATGTTCTATCATCACTCTATACCAGAAGCCCAAACACTGCCGTGAACATACACTGCTGTAGTCCAAAAGGATGAATCTTCTTGAAATACACACTCCTTGAAATACAATTTTTAATTAGCAGAGTGAATTAAAGTGAGTTTCCCAAACACAGCCTGGGATTCGTAAACCTGAAGATTGATACAGTTAAGGTAATGACTGTTCTCTAAAGGCCTGTGTGTTGGATGCTAGTCCATACAGAGAATTATCTAAGATAGCTGTACTTTGGGTTTTAAATGAGTGAATGTATTAAGTATGTGACAAGCAAAACAAAGGGAAGGAATAGGAAATAGAAGATAGAAAAAGCAGTTAGATAGCAGAATATCATAAAAATGGGCAATTTCAACACCCAACAAAAACTGCTGGAGTAGTTAAGTTGAGAGGGTGAGCAAAAATCACATCAGGTAAGGTGTTTACCACATCTAGCACGAATGACTAGGGAAACGGTGCTGAAACAACCATGCTGGAGCTGAAGATGGGGGACTGTCAGGCAGAACAAGCAACCTCTTCTTGAATGAGCTTCTTCTACCTTCCCGTTCCCACATGGACATTTTATACTATTAGATAGTAACAGTTTCTGCTGAAAATGGTTTATATTCTAGCTATAATTGAGTACACCTTTTAAAATTATTTTAATTAATTTAATTAAATTATCCCATTTGTCTTTCTAAGTGAGGATTGGTCATCGTACCCTGGGTCCTCTTTCTTGTTTATCTTCTTTAGGTGGATAGATTTCAGTATATTTATCCTATTTATAAGTCTATATAAGTGAGTATATACCATGTGTGTCTTTCTGCTTTTGGGATACCTCACTCAGGATGATCGTTTCTAGGTCCCACCGTTTGCCTGCAAATTTCATGATTTCCTTGTTTTTAATTGCTGAGTAGTATTCCATTGTGTAAAAGTACCACAATTTCTGTATCCATTCCTCAACTGAGGGACATCTGGATTGTTTCCAGGTTCTGGCTATTATGAATAAAGCTGCTACAAACATAGTTGAGCAAATGTCCTTGTTGTGTACTTGAGCCTCTTTTGGATATATGCCTAGGAGTGGTATATCTGGATCTTGAGGAAGCACTATTCCTAATTGTCTGAGAAAGCGCCAGATTGATTTCCAAAGTAGTTGTACAAGTTTGCATTCCCACCAGTAATGGAGGAGGGT